GGAGGAGGTGGAGGAAGAGAAGGAAGACGATAAGTAGTAATAGTAGTAGTAGTAGTAGTAATAGTCCTCTCTGACTTTCTTTTTACCTTCTTTCTTTCTTTCTTTCTTTCTTTCAATTTTCTTTCTTTCAATTTTCTTTCTTTCTTTCTTTCTTATTTATTAAATTATTTATTATCTTCTTAATCTCTTGTTGTATTATCCTTTTTTCGTTCTGTCTTTACATATTATTTGTTCACTCGTTTCCCTAAATTCATTTCTTTCTTTCTTTCTTTCTTTCTTTCTTTCCTTCTTTCTTTCTTTCTTTCTTTCTTTCTTTCTTCACTTTGTTTTCTATATTTTACCTTTTTCTTTCTTTCTTTCTTTCTTTCTTTTTTCTTTGTTTTTTTCATATATTTTTCCTTTCTTTCTTTCTTTCTTTCTTTCTTTCTTTCTTTCTTTCTTTTTTCACTTTTTCTATATTTTACCTTTCTTTCTTTCTTTCTTTCTTTCTTCACTTTATTTTTTCTATATTTTACCTTTCTTTCTTTTTAAAGCTTTCTTCACTTTGTTTTCTATATTTTACCTTTCTTTCTTTCTTTCTTTCTTTTTTCACTTTGTTTTCTATATTTTACCTTTCTTTCTTTCTTTCTTTTCTTTCTTCACTTTTCTTTTTCTATATTTTACCTTTCTTTCTTTTCTTTCTTTCTTCACTTTGTTTTCTATATTTTAGCTTTCTTTCTTTCTTTCTTTCTTTCTTCTTTCTTTCTTTTTGTTTTCTATATTTTACCTTTCTTTCTTTCTTTCTTTCTTTCTTTCTTTCTTCACTTTGTTTTTCTATATTTTACATTTCTCTCTTTTTTTCTTTCTTTCTTTCTTTCTTTCTTTCTTTTCTTCACTTTCTTTTTTCTTTTTTTTTTCTTTTTTTTTTGTTTTCTTTTTGTTTCTTTCTTTCTTTTTTCACTTTGTTTTCTATATTTTACCTTTCTTTTCTTTCTTTCTTTCTTTCTTTTCTTCTTCTTTGTTTTTCTATATTTTACCTTTCTTTCTTTCTTTCTTTCTTCACTTTGTTTTCTATATTTTACCTTTCTTTCTTTCTTTCTTTCTTCACTTTGTTTTCTATATTTTACCTTTCTTTCTTTCTTTCTTTCTTTCTTTCTTCACTTTGTTTTCTATATTTTACCTTTCTTTCTTTCTTTCTTTCTTTCTTTTCTTTCCCTTTGTTTTCTATATTTTACCTTTCTTTCTTTTCTTTCTTTCTTTCTTCACTTTGTTTTCTATATTTTACCTTTCTTTCTTTCTTTCTTTCTTTTTTCACTTTGTTTTCTATATTTTACCTTTCTTTCTTTCTTTCTTTCTTTTTTCACTTTGTTTTCTATATTTTACCTTTCTTTCTTTCTTTCTTTCTTTCTTTCTTTCTTTCTTCACTTTGTTTTCTATATTTTACCTTTCTTTTACTTTCTTTCTTTCTTTCTTTTTCTTCTTTTTTCTATTTTTTTCTTTTCTTTCTTTCTTTCTTTCTTCACTTTGTTTTCTATATTTTACCTTTCTCTTTTCTTTTTTCTTTCTTTCTTTCTTTCTTTTCTTCACTTTTTCTTTCTATATTTTTTTTCTTTCTTTCTTTCTTTCTTTCTTTCTTTCTTTCTTTTTTTTTTTTTTCTATATTTTACCTTTCTTTCTTTCTTTCTTTCTTTCTTTGTTTTTCTATATTTTACCTTTCTTTCTTTCTTTCTTTCTTCACTTTGTTTTCTATATTTTACCTTTCTTTCTTTCTTTCTTTCTTCACTTTGTTTTCTATATTTTACCTTTCTTTCTTTCTTTCTTTCTTTCTTTCTTCACTTTGTTTTCTATATTTTACCTTTCTTTCTTTCTTTCTTTCTTTCTTTCTTTCTTTCTTTCTTCACTTTGTTTTCTATATTTTACCTTTCTTTCTTTCTTTCTTTCTTTTTCTTTCTTTCTTTTTCACTTTTTTTCACTTATTTTTCTACCTTTCTTTCTTTCTTTCTTTCTTTCTTTCACTTTGTTTTCTATATTTTACCTTTCTTTCTTTCTTTCTTTCTTTCTTCACTTTGTTTTCTATATTTTACCTTTCTTTCTTTCTTTCTTTCTTTCTTCACTTTGTTTTCTATATTTTACCTTTCTTTCTTTCTTTCTTTCTTTCTTTTTTCACTTTGTTTTCTATATTTTACCTTTCTTTCTTTCTTTCTTTCTTTCTTTCTTTCTTTCTTTCTTCACTTTGTTTTCTATATTTTACCTTTCTTTCTTTCTTTCTTTCTTTCTTTCTTTTTTCTTTTTTTCTTTTTTTTCTATATTTTTTCTTTCTTTCTTTCTTTCTTTCTTTCTTCACATTGTTTTTTATTTTACCTTTCTTTCTTTCTTTCTTTCTTTCTTCACTTTGTTTTCTATATTTTACCTTTCTTTCTTTCTTTCTTTCTTTCTTTCTTCACTTTGTTTTCTATATTTTACCTTTCTTTCTTTCTTTCTTTCTTTCTTTCTTCACTTTGTTTTCTATATTTTACCTTTCTTTCTTTCTTTCTTTCTTCACTTTGTTTTCTATATTTTACCTTTCTTTCTTTCTTTCTTTCTTCACTTTGTTTTCTATATTTTACCTTTCTTTCTTTCTTTCTTTCTTCTTTTTTTTTTTCTTTATTTTTTCTTTCTTTCTTTCTTTCTTTCTTTCTTCTTTTGTTTTCTATATTTTACCTTTCTTTTCTATTTTCTTTCTTTCTTTCTTTCTTTTTTTTCTTTTTTACTTTTTTCTTTTTTCTTTCTTTTTTTCTATTTTTACTTTCTTTTTTTTCTTTCTTTCTTTCTTTCTTTCTTTGTTTTCTATATTTTACCTTTCTTTCTTTCTTTCTTTCTCTCTTTCTTCACTTTTTTTTCTATATTTTACCTTTCTTTCTTTCTTTCTTTCTTCACTTTGTTTTCTATATTTTACCTTTCTTTTCTTTCTTTCTTTTTTCTTTCTTTCTTTCTTTCTTTCTTTCTTCCTTTGTTTTCTATATTTTACCTTTCTTTCTTTCTTTTCTTTCTTCACTTTGTTTTCTATATTTTACCTTTCTTTCTTTCTTTCTTTCTTTCTTCACTTTGTTTTTCTATATTTTTTTCTTTCTTTCTTTCTTTCTTTTTTTTTTCTCTTTCTTTCTTTTTTTCCTTAGTTTTTTCTATATTTTACCTTTCTTTCTTTCTTTTTTACTTTCTTTCTTTCACTTTTCTTTCTATATTTTACCTTTCTTTCTTTCTTTCTCTCTTTCTTCACTTTGTTTTCTATATTTTACCTTTCTTTCTTTCTTTCTTTCTTTCTTTCTTCACTTTGTTTTCTATATTTTACCTTTCTTTCTTTTCTTCTTTTTCTTTCTTTCTTTCTTTCTTTCTTTCTTTCTTCACTTTGTTTTTTTTTCTATATTTTTTCTTTCTTTTCTTTCTTTCTTTTCTTTCTTCCTTTCTTTCTTTCTTCACTTTGTTTTCTATTTTTACCTTTCTTTTCTTTCTTTCTTTCTTTCTTTCTTCACTTTGTTTTTCTATATTTTACCTTTCTTTCTTTTTTCTTTCTTTTCTTTCTTTCTTCACTTTGTTTTTCTATATTTTACCTTTCTTTCTTTCTTTTCTTTCTTTCTTTCTTTCTTCATTTTGTTTTCTATATTTTTTTTTTCCTAATTTTCTTTCTTTTCTTTCTTTCTTTCTTCACTTTGTTTTTCTATATTTTACCTTTCTTTCTTTCTTTCTTTCTTTCTTTTTTTTCACTTTGTTTTCTATATTTTTTCCTTTCTTTTCTTTCTTTCTTTTCTTCACTTTGTTTTTCTATATTTTACCTTGCTTTCTTTCTTTCTTTCTTTTTTGTTTCTATATTTTACCTTTCTTTCTTTCTTTCTTTCTTTCTTTCTTTCTTTTTTCACTTTGTTTTCTATATTTTACCTTTCTTTCTTTCTTTCTTTCTTCACTTTGTTTTCTATATTTTACCTTTCTTTCTTTCTTTCTTCACTTTGTTTTCTATATTTTACCTTTCTTTCTTTCTTTCTTTCTTTCTTTCTTCACTTTGTTTTCTATATTTTTTCTTTCTTTCTTTCTTTCTTTCTTTCTTTCTTTCTTTCTTTCTTCACTTTGTTTTCTATATTTTACCTTTCTTTCTTTCTTTCTTTCTTTCTTTCTTTCTTCCCTTTGTTTTCTATATTTTACCTTTCTTTCTTTCTTTCTTTCTTTCTTCACTTTGTTTTCTATATTTTACCTTTCTTTCTTTCTTTCTTTCTTTCTTTCTTCACTTTGTTTTCTATATTTTACCTTTCTTTCTTTCTTTCTTTCTTTCTTTCTTTTTTCACTTTGTTTTCTATATTTTACCTTTCTTTCTTTCTTTCTTTCTTTCTTCACTTTGTTTTCTATATTTTACCTTTCTTTCTTTCTTTCTTTCTTTGTTTTTCTATATTTTACCTTTCTTTCTTTTCTTTCTTTTTTTTCACTTTGTTTTTCTATATTTTACCTTTCTTTCTTTCTTTCTTTTCTTCACTTTGTTTTCTATATTTTACCTTTCTTTCTTTCTTTCTTTTCTTTTTCTTTCTTTCTTTCTTTCTTTCTTTTCTTCACTTTGTTTTCTATATTTTACCTTTCTTTCTTTTCTTTCTTTCTTTCTTTCTTCCCTTTGTTTTCTATATTTTATTTCTTTCTTTCTTTCTTTCTTTCTTTCTTCTTCACTTTGTTTTCTATATTTTACCTTTCTTTCTTTCTTTTCTTTCTTTTTCCTTTGTTTTTACCTATATTTTACCTTTCTTCTTTCTTTCTTTTCTTTCTTTCTTCACTTTTTTTTTCTATATTTTACCTTTCTTTTTTTCTTTCTTTCTTTCTCTCTTTCTTCACTTTGTTTCTATATTTTACCTTTCTTTCTTTCTTTCTTTCTTTTTTTTCACTTTGTTTTCTATATTTTACCTTTCTTTCTTTCTTTCTTTCTTTCTTTCTTTTTTCTTTTTCTTTGTTTTCTATATTTTACCTTTCCTTTTCTTTCTTTTCTTTCTTTCTTTTCTTTCTTTCTTTCT